AGAGATCTGTGGACCCTTTACTCAGCTTCCTCTGACATTAACATCTTATATTACCGTCATACGTGTGTCAAAATGAAGAAATCAATATTGGTACAGTTCTATCAACTAAGCTACAGCCTTTGTTTAGTTTTCATGTTTTGTTTTGTTTTGTTTTCCATTGGAGCTCTTTTTCTGTTACAGGATTGCATCCAGGATGCTACACTGCATTCAGTCACTGTATTCATTTACTAAGGCTGCCATAAAATAAAGTTCCATAGACTCGGTGGCTTCAATGACAGAAATGTATTGTCTCACAGTTCTGGAGCCTGCAAGTCCAAGACCCAGGTGTCGGCAAGTTTAGTTTCTCCTGAGGCCTCTCTCCTTGGCTGATAGGTGGGCCTCATATGTCCTCATATGGTCTTCCCTCTGTGTGTGTCTGTGTCCTCATCTCCTTTTCTTATAAGGGCACCAATCATATTGGATCAAGATCTAGCCTAATGACTTCATTTTGGCTTAATCACCTCTCTAAAGGCCTAATATTCAAATACACTTACATTCTGAGGTGCTGGGGGTTAGGGCCTCAACATACGAATTTGGGAAAGGACAACTCAGCCCACAATAGCCATCATGTCTCCGTAGTCTCCCCCAAACTCTGATGGGTTCATGGTCTTTCCTTGTCTTTTGTAATGTTGACAGTTTTGAAGAATAGCTATCAGCACTGAACTGAATGGTCATTGACTGGGGTTTTATGCTGCTTTCTCATAATTAGACTGCTTGAATGTGTAGAGGAGCACCACCACCACATCCCCATTGGGTTTGGGTGCAGAGTCAGCACCTGTGGAAGGGAGGAGAAGTTTGCGATTTTTTTTTTTTACACCAAACAATTCTCCAATTCTGATGCTATTTACCTGGAGATAGCTCAGATCCCACAGGGTAAAGGGCTCAGTCCCCCAAGATTGATGTCCCCCACATCAGATGCCAACTGTAAATGGGATGCCCAGGCTATCCACACTTCTGCCCCGACTCCAAATTCGGGGGTTCTTATGACCGTTTTTCAGGTTTAGTAATTTGTTAGAATGGCTCTCTTGACGTAAAAAATGTCAACCTGTAGAAAACTGTAATGAGTTTTATTTGAGCCAAACTGAGGATAATTGCCAGGAAGCAGAATCTCAATGGATTAAGAAAACGCTCTGGAGAATGGCAGTTTTGCAGTTTATTTTATATATTAGAATCAAAGGAGGAGATGTAAAGAGGGTTCCATGAAATCCACTGTTGATAGATTAAGGGGTGGGAGAAAGCAAAGCGGGGAAATCTCTGGGATTGGATGAGAAGTAAAATGGGGAGAGACACACTTCTTTACGCTGGTAGGTACAGGAGAGTTAACATTCACAGCACATAGAGATGCTATTCAGGAAACGAGAGAACAATGAGAGGTTCTCTGGTCTCATGCTCTGATGTGGCGGGTTTAGAGAAAGGGACGACTCTGGCATTCCACGGGTATGTTATCTTAGATGCAAAGAGACAATAGGCAGGCTCACTTAAGCTAAAGATTGACCCTTGTTAAGAAAATTACAGGCCCAGGGTGTGACTACCCACCATAATCTGCTTCTAGTCAGGAATTTTTATGTTCAGACCATCCTATGTGGTTAATTTTGGTCTCTGAGTTTGTAGGACCCGTCATGCTGGCCTTCCCTGAGTTTGTCGGGTTTGGTATGTGGCCCTTTTTTCGTCCACAGCTCATGGAACCACAGACTAAAAAATAAAATTGACTGGGTGTTTCATCACCGAAGGGATTTACTCAGGGAAAATAAAGGGTTGTAACCCAGGGCATGAAGACATGGCAAGACACATGCACACTCTGGCCTGTGTGCCAAGTTGGAGGGGTATTTATAGAAGGGAGAAGGAAGTCGGAACCATAGAACTTTATTATAAACATAGAGTTCTTTCTATAGGGTTCTCCCGTGGAGGGTTCTCACAATTACGCAGAGCACAAGAACTTCCATAAACCCCAGCTCCTCCCATGTTTGCTTAAAGTTCCAGTTCATCATTATCATTCACTCCTTTTGATCGAGATCTTTCTCTCAAGATCTCTGAAGTCAGGTCCAACTTCAGCCTTTTTGTCCCTCGATGTCAGGAAGGACCTCATCTGCATGTCGCCTCTCACATCAGAGGGAAAGTGCATGGATTGGGAACAGCTCTGTCCAGGGTCAACAGGCAACAGGTGTAGAGCTAGAGGAGTCTCCTGCAAATCGTCACAAGGAGTCACGAGGTGATCTATCAGTGTCAAGCGGTCATGAGGTGCTTCATCAGTCTCAGAAGGGAGAAGAGTAGCTGGATTAAGTTTATTACAACATGAAAGAGTTATATGGGAAGTAGTTAACAAAAGGATTTCATAGGAAATAAGGTGACTAACAGAAAGATGCCAGGTGTGTGTGAAAATTCAGAAAAGCTTCTACTGCATGAGGTACAATGATGGTTACGGGGGACCCAGAACAATTTCCTCTGTGGCCTTAACCAAAAGGGCATTTTGGCTCTAGGACAAAGGGGGGCATCCCTGAGCCACAGGGTCCAGTTGCTAGGTATAGTATCTTAGCGGTCTGTGGTGATTTCCACATTTTCAGGTGAGTACCCCAAGGGCATCCCCTTCCTTTTCATGCACAACAAGGAAAAGGGGGGCCTGGTAATCAGGAGGCCCAGGAGCAGGTGGGGTTATCAGACTCTCCTTTAAGGCTTTAACGGCTCTGTCATCCTGCTCCTCCCATAAAATTGGGTCAGTACTGAGATTCTTAAGACAGAGAGGTTTTGCTGTAAGAGATTTGGGATCCAATTTCAGCAACAAACAACTAGCCCAAGAAAATCTCACAAGCAGTGCTTAGTTTGGGGCCTTGGGAAACTTAGGATACTGTGAAGCCTACCTGGATCCAGATGTGGTCCTTGTTCTGATATCAGAGGTCCCGAATAGTGAATCTGAGTTTGGACAAACTGTAATGTTTCCTTAGAGACCATATGTCCCTTTAAGGCCGAGGTTCTAACAGGTGGATGGTATCTTCCTGTGAGGAGACCCAAGAAGAAGAACAAAAGAGTAAATGATTTACATATTGCAATAAAGTGTAACATTTAGGGAAAATCATCCAAATCAGTCTTCGGAATTTGTGAGAAATAAGAAGGGCTTTTAGTTAAAACCCTGAGGCATTTCTATCCAGGTAAATTGTTTTCCTTCCCAAGTGAAGGCGAAACGGTACTGGCTAGCTTCATCACCTGGGACACTAAAGAATGCACTACATATCAATTACTGGAGAGAATTTACGTCCAGTAGGGATGGAGGCTAGCAGGGTACGAGGGTCAGGGACAGCAGGGTGTCGAGGGGTAACAATGTGGTTTATTGCTCGAAGGTCCTGGACAAGCCTCCGCCCTCATCCCTTTGGCTTTCTCACAAGTGAAATAGGAGTGATGCAGGGACTAGTGCAAATAATAAGGCCCTGAGTTACATCTTCTTCTATTATGGGCTTTATACCTTGAAGGGCCTCTTCACTTATAAGATATTGATTCTGGGAAGAGGTTCTGAAGGATCAATTTGAACCTGAATAGAAGGTACACTGTGGATTCTGCCAATATCAGTTGAAGATTTTGCCCATAAAGAAGACAGCAGTTGGTCCAATAAGGACAATTGATCAATGCTCTTGGATCCAGCTACTGTATCATCAAAAACAAAACAAAAGATGTTGAAAGGCCACTTAATTCACCTAATAGGCCACTCTGACAGTTACCATCAAGCTCTAACATTATTTCTCCCTTTCGGGTAAAGGATATTCCAGCATGATGCGTCTCTAGGAAGTCTCGGCCTAATAAGTGGGTAGGAGCAGAAGAACTAAGGAGGAAACAATGTGTACCTCAAGGGGTCTGAGCAAAAAGGACGAGGTTCGGAGATATGAACCTGCTGAGTTTACTACAAACCCCCCGTCCGGCTGTGTTACTGCTGAGTTTACTGCAAACCACCCCTGTCTGGCTGTGTTACTGCTGAGTTTACTGCAAACCCCCGTCTGGCTGTGTTACTGCTCTGTGTCATAGCTGTGCTATGACAGTGGGGTTGGGCACCAAGGCTGCAGGGCCAGTTTCTCCAAGCAGGCTGAGAGGAAGGATTGGAAAAAGCCCCTGTGGGTCCTCGGAGCCCGTCACTGGGGAGGAGGAGGACCCTGGGAGGCTGCTTGGAAGCTGAGAGAGTCTGAAATGTTTACACGTACAGCAAACCCAGTGTCCTGGCTCATTGCAATAATGGCAAAAGGTTAGAGTCTTTTGGTTTCACATAGAGCCTCTCATTTGCCAAGGCTGAAAATTTAAAATCTTGGCGATCTTACTTCTAAGTGGTTCATCTGGAGTATGGGCAAGATGACTGGCTGAATTAATCAAATGTAGGGTGACCGTGGACTCCCATTCCATCCTGGTTCTCTTAACCAGGAGGGAAAGATTGCTGTTCAGCCCATTAGCAAACAAAGAATTAAAAGTTATCCCAGTGGCGCCAACATCTGAAGGAAGATCAGAATTTTCTGTAAAAATGACCTGAAGTCTATTATAATAGTTATGAACAGATTCGTCAGACTTCTATGACTAAGTCTGAATTTTGCTTCAATCAACAAGCTTTGGGAAAGCGTTAGGAATTGCTTGGTGTAGATTTTGAGCAAGACCTCTAGCTTCTTCCCCAAAATTGAAGGTTTCTAAGTCCTTTTCGGGATGTTCCCATCTGGCAATTCTCATCCAGTGTCGAGCCTGGCCTTTACCAACTAACATGAATTAGCTGATATAAGTCAGAGAACCCAAGCTGTAGGCCTGAACGATATCAAACTCCTCAGCAAACTTGTGAGGATCCTTAGTTACCTTAGGGAATTCCTTTACAATGAATGGCTTAAAACTCAGCTTTAGTCCAGGGGACACATGAAACTTGGGGTCTGTTAAGATCGCCAGAGGGTTTAATTTTAAATGGGAAAGTACTAATAAGTTCAGAGGAAGAAAAAGTAGGAGAGGATTCAAGGGAAAATGGTACTAGAGGCAGAACCGAAGGAAAGGAAGGAGGGCGCGGAAGGCAAGATGGCGTCGAAGGTGGAGCTGGAGGCCAAGGGGTTGGGGAAGGAGCCCTGTGGCAAGCTGGAGGAGAAGCCTGAGGCAAAGTCTGCATAGAAGAATAGGGTGGACCTGAAGATGGATCCTGAGATGATGGAATAGAGGGGAAAGGGCAACACAGCCCTACAGAGGGAGAACACGTGGCTTGAGAAGCTATCTTCTCTCTTTTTAAGTTTGCGGTAGCCTCTGTTAATTTTCAGACTTTAATTCTCATAGAGGCAACTTCAGATTCTTAGTCTCATTTGGAAGCCTCAAAATACCATTCAAAATGGGCTTTCCACTATGTTTTAACAATTTTAGCCCTATTATTGTCCAATTCGGTTTTAAGAAAATGAAGTTTGGGAATCTCAAAAGTTCTCCAGAGTGGCCACCAATTTTCTGAATTACTTTTAGTAAGATCTGTCCACTTACTTAAATATGAGCATGAAAATTGCACGCAGCTTTTAACCATGTACTTGGCAAGCATCCCTGGCAAAGAAGGGACAATCTTAAAATATTTCGATAACTGAGATCCCATTTTTCAGAGACTTTTCTCTAGAGCAAAGGGTCCAAGGCAATTTACAATAGCTGGAGCAACCTGCAGGTCAGATACCAGCCAGGCTCACTCTAGAACAGTCTGATCCCAGAGGACCAAACTGAAGGCTAAAAGCCAGTTCTAGGAAAATAATCAACCCTTGAAAAGTCCAGTTAGAGGCTGAGCTGGGTGACACTCCTCTCTTTACAATGGCACAGTGTAATACTGGGCCAAACTGACTAATTTCAGTAGAAATAACCGTTGCTGGAGAGCTCGGGGCTCCAGTGACCAGATTCTTGTCTTATGCCATAAGAAAGAATTCAAGGGCAAGACGAACAGCAATCAGGAAAATGCAAGGTTTATCAAAGCAAAAGTACACACTCAAGAGGAGAATGCAGGCAAACGAGAGAGAGAGAGAGAGAGAGAGAGAGCGAGCGTGATGGACAGACAGACAGAGACAGAGGACAGAGAGAGGTGACAGAGAGAGACAGAGAGAGACAGAGAGAGAGATGAACGGACAGACAGACAGAGACAGAGGACAGAGAGAGAGAGAGGAGTCACAAGATGCTTTTGTTCTTCTTAGGGGTAAGGCTCAGGAAATGTGGTACTAACTTAACCTCATTGTCTCCCCCTAGGCAGGAAGCTTGGTTTCCGCTCTTTCTTCCTTATATGGTGTTTCTGGAACAGTCTTGGTGGCAGGTGCATGATAGGAGAAGCAATATTTGTGATGCGAATGCAATTATAATGAAATTATAATTAGCCAAAAGTCATGCCTTAGCGAAAGATGGCGTCTTAGCTGGAAAAGACCGGTTTTGGCTTATTTCCCCTGCTGGGGCTAAGATGGGAGGTCTGAAGAAAGGAAAGTTTTCTGAGCCATGTCCTGGAGGGGGAGGGGGCGTCTCTGAGCTATCTAACCTGCCTCATAAAACCCCTGATAGATTTTTGGACCCATAACCATACTGGATGTTAAGGGACTGGAGGTGAGGCTTCTGTGACAGGGCATAGTCCCTACCTAACCTGGGACTGAAAATCTTTGCTTGTTTGATCTGGGGGGTCAAGATTTTCCTCCAGGGAGATCTCCATTGAGGAAACCAGCTTAAATCCCTGTAGCATCATCATCTTTACGTGAAACTGTTGTAATCTGGAGGTGACAAATTTAATGAGAAGTTTAAAGAGACGTGGGCCAAAGATGAAAAGTAGGACTAGAGTTATTAGAGGCCATAACAAAGGGAGGAATCATTTTAGAATCGGTATTATAACTACATGTATTATAATCAACGATGAGGGTAGGTGTTCCTGACGTCCATTCTCCAAAGTAGGCATTGGGTTCTGTGCCGTTTGAAGCAGCCCCAGCACACACAGAGTCGCAGTGTATGCCTGAGAGGCATGCTGAGCCTCAGCTAGATACTGGAGAAATGAGTCGCCACCGAGAGATCAAGGCCCTCCCTGGTGGGCTTGGCTCAATTGTACAGCTTTGTTAAGAGGAACTTGAATCTCAGGAACAAGCAGGGAGGTATGTTGATAATGTCTTTTTATAAAATAGCAGTGACATTTACACAAGTCCAGTCTGTTTGAAATAATAAACCCTCTATTGGGGTATCGTAGGAGTGTGGCACAGCGGAATGGGTAAATTTGAATAATGACACATTACAGGAAGTAGGGTAAAACATAGGCCAAGGCGGGCATGTTTGGAGGTACAGGTGACAGATCCTGCAATTAGAGAGATGGTTTCCCCTAGCTACGATGTTTGAAAAGTTTACAAAAGCATTAGATTCCCATCCTCCTCGGAGGGCCTTCGAATAGATTAAAATTAAGAGGAGTAAGGTCATATTGGTAGAGTCAGTGGTCATGAACACAGTCCAGAAAGGAGGTTAAGACTGATTAGAAGAAGCCAAGTATGGTAAAGGTTATGAAGGAGATAGGCTAGAGTTCAGTCTCACTGAAATCGAGACAATTACTAGAGGAGTGCCTGAGGGGCGGGCACAGGTGAGGAGGAAAACAAAGGCCAAGGGAAGACCCATGCTCCAAAGCAGTCACTAACAAGTCAAGAAGTCAGCAGTGGGATGAAGTACTTTCTGGGCCAGCCGTCTACTCTTGCGATGGTACGAGCCTCAGGGGTTAAGGGCCAAGCATGATCCATCAGGACCAAGTAGTGGCTCCCATGTCGATTAAAAATTGATCTGCTTACTTGCTATGTCAAGGATCACCTGGGGTTCTTCCGTAGTCACAAGACATCTGTGAGAAGCCACCAGGAGCCCTGGGCCCCTCCAGTCCTCGTCAGACAGGGTCTCCTAGATGTTTAGTTAACAAAGAATTTATTTTGGAAAAAGGGTTGCAGGCAACCCAGAATATGCAGACATGGCAAGCCACGTGCACACTCTGGCCTGAGCGCCAAGACGGAGGAGTGTATATAGAAGGGAAAAGGAAGTTAAGGGAAGGGGAAGTTAGAACCATTGAGCTTTACTATAAACATAGAGTTCTTCCTGCAGGGTTCTCACATGTAGGGTTCTCATAATTACGCAGAGCATGAAAAGTTCCGTGAGCCCCAGCTCCTACCATAGACTCTCCTGACTGATCGTGTTTGCTTAAAGTTCCAGTTCATCTGTATCAGAACTCAGAAAAACACTTCGATTGTATTTAATAGCTTATTGTAAAGGATACAACGCAGGGACAGCTAAATGGATGAGATGCATAGGGCAAAGGATGGGGGGATGGGGTGCATGAAGATTCTATGCCCTCTCCAGGTGTATCACTTTTCCAGCACCTGGATGTGTTCACCACCCCAGAAGCTCATCCAGTCTCCTTGTTGAGTTTTTATAGCACTGGATCTCCAGCCCCATCCCACCCCAGGTTAGTAAGTAGGGCTGATTGTTCTGATCTTCTAATCACATATTTGGTCTTTGTAGTGACCAGCTGCATCCTGAAGCTCTCTAGGGGTCTCATCCTAAATCACCTCATTAGTGTAAACTCAAGTGTGCTCAGTGAGGTTCATGATGAATAACAAAAGACACCCCTATCATTCAAGAAATTCTAAGGGTTTTAAGAAGCCTGTGCCAGGAACTGGGGACAAAGAATAAATCTCTTTCTTCTACCACAGGAAGGAAGCAGGCCTAGGCAGAAGGAGAAGTTGAACTAGGCAGGTGTGACAACAGCCTCAGCTGACCTCACAGGGAGCTCTAAACCAGAACGGTCCTGGGTTGAGACAGTGTGGCCAGACCTTGTCCCCTTATACCAGTGTGAGCCGTGCCAGGAAAGGGAACATGACTTTCGGTCAGATGGCTCTCTGCAGCTGAGTTTTCCCCAAAGGGGCTGTTGCCTGTCTGCCAACAGACTTTCCAGCAGCTGGAGCCACACATTCTTCCTCCTGGGCTGCCCGCCCCGGGGTCTACCATATCCCTGAGGCAGGAGAGAGCTGAGGTGCCTATATGCCAACTCCCGACAATCCCCGCTTGACCAGGGTCATTAGCTGCCTTGTGCTTCCAGCCTTCAGAATGAGCTCCAGCAATCAGAGAAGGCCTTCTGACCAGGAAGCAGGCAATGGCAGAATAATATTGGGAAGCGGAAAGGCACGCGTGGATGTGAAGAAGCTCTGGGGCCATGGCGGCTACACGAAGTGATTTGAACAGTGTGATCTTGTCAAGGCAGAGAGAGTAGACCAATGGAACACACGAGCCCTCATCATATTCCACAACCGGTCACTTTATGATGCTCTGTTAAAAACCAAAATTCAATGAAATAAATCTGAAGATCTAATTGGCTTTATTGAATGATTCATGGATCAGGCAACATCCTATCTAGCAAGTAAAAAGGAATTCCAAGGAGCTGGACAAAAGGAAAGGCTCTGATATGCAGAAGAGAGTGGGGCAAAGAAGTTCAAAGAGTGGATTATTTCAGGCAAGACCACTTTCCCTTAGGGGAAGGCAGGAGTCTTGGCTAGTCCTAACCAAGAAATTCCAGGTTGACTGGTTAAAGCTTACATCCCTGGGAGGGGCTGAAATTGCAATGAAGTCTTTGTTTGCTGACACGGGGCTTAGCACAAGTGACTCCATTTGAATATGTTTCTTCTTATTTTTTTAAAGATCTCCAAGGAGCAGAGTGCCCAGAACTACAACCTCTGAGCCAAGGGGAACCTTGAGGCAACAGAGGAAGGACAGAGTTCAGCCCATAAGGGGTGAGAAGTCTGACAGAGAAGAGTTCCAGAGCTTTTGTCAAGATCTCAGCATGTACAGACCGGGAGAAGGAATGCTGGCGTAAACATGGGTGAGGTTCTGCAGAACCAGCAGAGGGGAAGTTGAGGCTGCAGGGATCGAGTACAGATACCAGGCTGCAGTCACTGAAGCAGGAAGCTGTGGACTTTTTGCAGATTCAGAATTTGCTGATGTCACATTTGGAGTCGTTCCAGCCATCACCCCTGAGCTCCGCACGATCTTCCTCCCCACTGCTGTGGAGCTCTCCTTTGTTCCAGTACTTCATGAAGCTGCAAAGGCAGCCCAGACCATGAGCCCCTGTCCCACTGTGTTAACTGTGGTTCTAGCCTCTGTTAACCTGTTGTTTTCACATCTGCCCTGTATGCATGTGTCAGGCACGCCTCGTTCTGGACAGCCTGATGGCATGCCTGAGTCACTTGACCTTGGCCTCCTGTCCCCACAATTTTAGCAGGAGTCCTCCTATCCGGGATATGCTTTTCAAATACAAACCGATCAATCCAGAGCCCACACCCCCAAACACCATAATTATCAGGCTCTCACCCTCCAGGTCACTATTCTCCTGGCCCAATCACCCCAAGGCAGATAACCAGACACCCAGGGCCAGCCCCTATACCCCAGAGCCCACTGAAATTTTCTAAACTAGCCAGTCCTAAGCCTGCTTACCTGCGTTGCCCACTCCTGCCTGTGAAAACCATAATACAGGCTCTTGCCCACAGTTCCTCCTCTCCCTCTGCCTCCTGACCGAACCTGGTGCTTCCCTGTGCAGCCCCCCTACAATGTGATGTGCACTTTTTCTCTTGGAACCTGTGACTATGACAAACTGTCTTTTCAATGGCAATCTGATCTGTGGGCCTCGGATATTCTGCTGACATACACTATATTTTAAAACACCCACCCAGGCTGCAAGCTCCTCCTGCAGCTCTGATGGTGGAATTGGGGGCACTTGCCGTCCTATAGAGACATGAGTATGATTTTCAACTCAGTGAAAATCTCAGACTGTTAAGTCTGGGGATCAGGAAGTGGGAGAAGATCCTCATGTCAGGGTTCACTCCCACTTGACAGAGGGACCCATTTCTGAGACTTACCTGAGCAGCTGGGGTGAATTGTCCAGCCAGTGCCACGTGCCTTTGTGTTTCAGGTCTGAGAGCCCCATCCAGGTGAGGCAGTTACCCTTGGAAGTCTGCAGCTGCAGGAAGTCCTGGTGGATGAAGAGAAGTCAGGAAGGAGCTTGTCCCTCCACTTTCCAGATTCAGCCTCTCTTCAATTTCTTGCCAGGTAGTTCATCTTTTAGTCTGACCTTCAGCTTTCGAGTTTGCCAGATCCTGAGCCCCCGCATGTGCTCAGGATGTCTGAGTTTTCTCACATCTGTATCCTATGAGCACACCTGTTCTGACTTGCAGACATATGTGCACACCTGGTCTCTCATCACACACATTTGGTAATAAGACATGGTTGTGGGTTTCACATGAGCTAAGTATGTCCACACGAATTTACTCATGCCTGGGGTTAATGTGCTGGAAACAGTTCGTGAGAGCTGATCATGTACATCTCTTTTCAGCTTCTCACTGAGTGACGTCATGTCAATAGCTTGAAATCAACCATGGTGGGAGAATTTACACCAGGAAAATGGGCAAACACCAAATTGGCAAAAGCCAGAAATCAGGACATCCCCTCCACCCCGACTCAGAGAGCTAGTTGTTAAACACTTGCCAGCACACTACTGGGGTTTATTTACATGTTATGCGTTCCCCAAAACACTCACACATGTTTAGAGATTGTTTATATCTCCTGGCAAAGTGCCCGGGACCCCCTCATTGATACCCTTCTCCTCTCCGCCTTTCCACATGGAGTAATCAGCCTCTCCCAGAACATCCACTTTCCGTCTTGTCCCCAGCTGGCCCGTGGTCGAAAGCATGCTTCAGGCCAGGTCAGGATCCCCCGATAAGACTGATGTACCCGCTCCTCGGCACTTTTGATCACCACAAGTTGGACGCCCACTTCCTTGCTGGCAGCAGCAGAGTCGTGCCAGTTCTGCTGGGAAAGGAAGAAGAAGTAACAATGTCCTAGGAAGAAGGTCCACTCCCAAGGACAGGAGCAGCACAGGGGGACTGTTGGAGAAGGCAGGTCCAGAGGCCTCGATCCCTGTACCTTCCCACTCTAATCTCTTGAGAGTCGAAGTCCCGCCTTGACTCCACACCCTACATGGACCATTCATTCCCTGTCCACTTCCTGAGACAACCCCCCGCCCCAGCCCCTGGAGAATGCAGAAATCCTGACCCTCATCTCTTCCGGACTGGAAGGAATAAGAACTTTACAGCTCAGAACAGGAGCTTGGATTGATTTAGTGCCTGCGGTGCGTCTGGCCCCCTGGGAACACCAAATACTCTTTTTCTTATTTCACAGAGGAGGAAACTGAGGACCAGAGAGGAGGACTGACACAAGCAGAGTCACACCACATGGACAAGGGTCTAGGCCCTAAGATCCCAGTGTCCGGTCACTCACTTAGCCTTCAGCTAGGTCAGCTCCTGGTAGATCTCCTACTTCAAGTACTCCAGCCCCTGGGGTCTGGGGACCTTGAAGACTGTGCCAAGAAAAAAAGAAACTGCAATTATTAAACACCTACTGTGTATTGTGTCCTACACTGGGCTTTCTGGACCCTTCTGAGAGTCAAGGTCTTTGTTAATCCCATTTGAAGAAGGGAAAATTTGACATCCAGAGAAGGCCACATCAGGAGGTCTGCTATAGTCAGCACTCTTCCCTCTGGCCTTCTCCCCCTCCGACCCTGCACCAGAGGTGGGAGAAGCTATAGGAGAGGCCACTAGGCAGCTGACCAGAGAAACCCAGAGGGACCCGAGTCCTGGCTTTTAACCCCACCTCCTTCTGGGACCTGCTGTCCCCCCACCCCACCCACTACTAGCCTATGTCCGCAGCCAAAGGGCCCAAGCTTGGGAGGCCCTGACCCTCGGGGCCTGCCCCTGACCTTGGAAAGGCTACCAGGAGTCCAACGAAGAGTGTGAGGGGTACGAGGGCGGGGGGGAATGGCCCTGTCCTGAGGAAGAGAAGAACAGGTGGTTCCAGCACACCTGGGTGCCAGCCTCAGCCTGCTCTATGGACAACCTATCTCCCATCCTCTAAATCCCCCCACCTCCACCTCCCAGGACGCAGAGGTCCAGGCCCTCAGCCCTTACCTCCCACGGACTCAGGAGTCCAGGCTCCCCACTTCCATTTTTCCAGGACTCAGGCCTCCAGGATCCCCAGACCCTACCTCCTCAGGACCCAGGAATCTGGTGGTAGTTGTCGTCCCCTACTCCCTGTCCCCTAATCTTGTTGCACCTGAAAAGGTCCTGAAGCTATGAATCTGTCAGAATCTAAAGGCTTTCGGGGAAGTCTGATGCCACTGGTTATCGGCTCTTCCTCCTGTGAATGGGCAGAACATGACTCATAACCTGGACAAGCTGAGACCAGAGCTAGCCATCCCCTCGCCCACCTCCCCAAGATCCCAGAGTCCCCACCTGGCCTCACCCAGGGCGCCCAACTGCTGTGCCATCAGTTTCTTGGGGTCACGCATGTCCACCCGCTGTCTTCAGATGCCTCATCCAGGATCTTGGGGACCACAGCTTTTATTTCCTGCCCTGGGGTGCTCACTCTCTGTGTTACCCTGGGTCCTTGCAACACCCCCTGGATGGAAATCAAGATAGATCCCCAGACACCAATGCAGACAAAGAGAAGGTTTTATTGAACTTTGTACAAGGAAACCAACACCGTGAGAAGGAAAAAATGGGTTCTTCCCCCAGGGAAGCTGGGGCATTGGTTTTAAAGAGTTCAGGAGCGGAGTTGGAGGGAGCTATATCTAGGCAGGTATAGGTGGAGTTTTCTTGGAGCCCGTGCTGTTCGACTACACACTTCTTCGTGCTTGCGTGTCTCATTAGCATGTTAAATCCTCACCCCCAGGTGTGATTCTTAGCATTACAATGAAGAAAAGATTACACAGGGGCACTTTTAAGCCAAAAGGAAAGTCCCTCGGCCCTTTGTAAGCAGGTCGTTGCCTTAATGTTGATTAGTCTCCCTAGGGCAGGTGTCCTTGGGGAACTTATCTAAGTATTAGCATCTGGCTCCCATTTGCTCGGCCCAACTGACTGGGCAGCAGGAAGTTGCCTGTCTTACCTATACCTACTTTTACTCGGGAACAGAAATAGGAAACTGGGCACCGACATGGGAAAAGGCTAGAAGGAGGGAGGGGGCCTCTGATACGAGATGGTCTAGACCTTCCAGGAATGC